GATTCATGATTCCATTCAACCCGAAAAGACCGAAACAACATAGAAAACTTGAACGAAGGACTGCCTTTTCGGGGGCTCCATTGAATTTGCGCTGCCGTTTCTCTTTGCGCTCGAGTTGAGAGATTTTTACTGTAAAAAAGACAAGAGGGAGATATGGGTGGGATCACTGTCGGAAACGATAAGTACTGTCCTCACCTAAACGCCTATAGTCACGTTTTTGAGTTTTATTCTGTCAATCAGAAAGGTTTTTCACGGTATTTTAACCTTTTGGCAAACGCTATCCCACCTCTCATGCTCGGACATCAGCCGCCTTTTTTGGTTTTAGGTGCAGAAAATAGTGATTGATAGGAGAAGCTGGGCTTGCAATAGTCAATCGGACTGAGAGAATGTTGGTGTTCCAGTCACAGTCATCACAATGTGAGAGAGTGAGAGAGAGAGAGAGAGAGTGAGAGAGAGAGAGCGAGACAATCAATGCGAAAATTGGCACACGACGCGCATGAAAAAGCGGAGGTAACGGCTCGGCGGAGCGGGACCAACGATATAATCCTCTATTCGCCCCGACTATACACCGGAGCATTTTTTGCGGTCTCGATTGTCTATGACGACTACTACTGCGGATGACATTGATGAGTGTTAATTACTGTACGAGTACTGAACCCACTTTTTACGTGGGCCTGAGGCTGAGGCCTGACATTTTTATTGGCCCAGAAAAAATCGTACCTCGGCGTACTGTCGTGTGTCTCCTGCATGGCCATCAATTGCATCGACGATTCCCCCGAGGGCATCGATAGATGAATATAGTTTGGAGAGGAGAATGACGGCATCACACACACACCCTCTACCCGGTGCAGCGTCGCGAAAGAAATCTGGAAAAACGGTGTTAACTCTAATGGCTGGTATCTCGGTTCGCTATCGGCCTAACGGGCTGTAAGTTTTGCCAAAATATTCGCCTTGTCATTTGGAGTATTCTCGCTTACCTATAGGATATACAGCTGAAGCGTAGGAACAGCAAGGCAAAAAGAAAGTTGATAGGTCGGCTGTTGCGTGGACGCGAATATTAGCCGAGCTCTTCAGCCTCCACTGCGTCACCTCATTCCGGTTGGCTGCTGAAAGGCGGCTTAAAGTTTAAGGTGAAATTCCGACAATCGTGAGAACACAAGAAATGAACACCGTGGACCTCAGAATTTCTTTGAATACGATTTTTCGCTTCTGCTTCTCATAAAATGACGCTTCTCCTCGCCAGGATAATCCGGGGAACCTATTTTGACAAAATCTCCCCAAAATATGCAAATTATATTCCGGAAAAATTCGGCGCAACGTTTCGAAGCGCCCCGCCTACGCCATGGCACGCCGAAATTCGGGTGCCACAGGAAATTGGCCCCGATTTCTGGGGCGTTGCTCCACGACCACCATCACCTCCTCCAGCGGCCGCTAGCGCATAAAAATTCTTCCCGGTCCACCGGAAGCGCCGTCGGTTGGAGGGGAGCGGGTGGAATGGGGCTGAAGGGCTGAAGAAAGTGCGAAATTTAGTGTCATGTCAGGGGAACGCGTCATCAAGTTTAGATTCTGAGTTGGCGTGGCGCACGGAACGCCGGTGAAAAATACGGAAAACTTGGACATGGCGGTTCTGGATTTCGGGAAAGCTCTTTCGGTCGGCTCGTTCAAGAGCAAAAGGATCAAGAGCAAAAATGCGAATTCCAAAGAGTCTGGCGACTCCCCGTGGTTCACTAATCAATTTTCGAAGTCCTGAGTTTCGGAAGATATTTTTAAATGGCTTGAGCGGAAGAGAGAAACTCTGCGAACCGTTTGCTGCTTTAACTTTACCGGAACAGAAAAGAGCAAAGAACATCGGCCTTAGAAAAAAGAAGTTTGTAGGTTCCGGGTGAACGAACGGGTCAGCCCGGGGCCAACATCTGGAACTAGCCGCTTTTTACGTGGGCCCAAGGGGTCAGTGTGTTTTACGGCAACCCGTTCGAGTCGTCCTCTTGGGAAAGACCGGAGGGTCCAGGGGGTAGCTTAAGCAAAAGCTATATGCGAAAACGCGCGTGGGGCAGCTAATTAGCATAATTAACTATAACACAAAGCAATTGCAATAAGCCTGATTATTCCCGGCCCCAAAGTATTGCTATGCTGTTTTTGCACCAAAAAGAAGCAAACAAAATTCCTTAGAACTGCGCCAAATTCCTGATCGGGAGATGTCTCGAGACTCCGGAACTCCGTCACCGGGCCATATATTTTTGGGTGGTCGGGCTATTTTCCGCATGGCTATGCATCGATGAGCGGACGCTGCCAGGGGGATACTTGGAAAGGAAGTAGCGAGGGGTGAAAAATCGCCTGAGGAAGCGGCACCGGAATACTAAAGCCATCGCTGGAATTGGCGTTGCTGAAAAAATAGAGTTAGCGAGCTAATATCATCTTCTTTGTCTTTTCAATCCGGGAAACGGGGGAAAATTCCAAATCCCACTTCATCACGTAGCACGTAAAAAGGAATGCAACGGAACCCCCGGGGTCATATGGCTGGGTGTCTCGTGGCCCTAGGTGGATGCCCCCCTCTCACAGAATGTTTATAGTCCCGGTGGTGGTTGTGGCCAGAATTGAGGGCAATTCGAAGCAGATGCCCCTCCTTTCCGCCCTCAAAACTGCCTCCCCTCCTTCGTCTGGCCCATTGCCAAACGGCAGTCCAGCCAATAGAGGGTGTCAATTTCAGGCTGATTTCCGGGACTGTTGATAAACTGGGGGGCTGGGGTTAGAGATTGGCCAATGCAAAATAGAAATCGGATGATCGAACATCGGACGATTTTGTTCGGAAATTGCAGAATTGGTCTTGAGATGATGCGGTGATAATCTCCAAGATAAATCCTTACTTTCGAAAAATTATTTCAGGTTGGGATGCTCAAGCTAAACTACAATTTCCTCAGACAGCAGCGGTTCTGTTTCCTTAACGGGGGGTGGGGTGGGGGTTGAAAGGCGGGAAATATACTGAGAACATTAATTCTAGATGAAAACACAATATTTAAGAAAGTTATAAAAAAAGCAAAAATAACCTTGAAAATGGGTTTTGTAAACTATATTTCGGGACTTTCGGTATTTTTCGACATTCTGTTAACGCTATTCGAAGGAGCATAAAAAATATACGCAGTTTTATATACAGCTCAAAACAATGTACTTTCAGATAAGAGAGCTATTGAAAATGTACTCTTGAAATAGGACATTTTCTACCGACACTATTGCTATTGAAAACTCTAATACCTTGAGCTCTTCGGAGATCTCTGAATATTTGACTTGATCCCGCTGGTCGGACCAGAAATGGCTTGTCGTTCTCACATGACTTGTAAAAAAGCCAAAAAAGCGCGCGCCCCGTCTGGCTAATTGGGCACAACCGAACATGTAATATGGGTTGCTGAACTCGGAACCGTTAAAAAAATGGGATTTGAACTTGGCCAACTACCACGCGGAACTGAAAAATCTGTAGCAAAGACTTTGCATTATAATAAGGTCTCGGTCTTCGAAATAACTATTTTTTAGGGTTTTGCATAAAGCCAAACGAGATTGTATTCTTCTACGGGTCGCAGCAGAAAGCACTATAAATTGAATCGGGCAGGCGCTACAGTACCCCAAAATCTTTTAATGGTGAATCGAAGCGAATTTTGAGCCCCGGATCTTGGATTATAGCCGGAAATCGGCGGATTTCTGGGGGAGTCAAGCCGCCTGCCATTCACCGGATTATCAGGCCGCGAAAATCGGGACCGAAATGAGCGCGGAAATTTGATTGGCGGCATCGAAATCCAAGGGGCTTAGGTTCAGCGTGCGAGAGAAAGGGAGCGGAGAAAGAGTGAGCGAGAGAGAGAGATTGAGAGATATATAGAAAAATCTATAGAAAAATCCAAAAAGAAAAAGAAATTGACCAATCTACAAAGAAAAACTCTACAGTAGCCCAGCAAAAACAAATCATTTTCGTTCGCAACATGGCTCGACCGGAATATGATCCATCATCTCATGTTTTGGGGCTTAAAAGCCGCATACTTAGGGCCGGAAAAAGAAAAAGTAGCAGAAGAGGCAGAGAGAGAGAGAGAGAGAGAGAGAGAGAGAGAGAGAGAGCCAGAGCCACCGGCTAATTGGCATGTCCGGTGGCCGCCCAAAAGCTGCGAGACTGGTAATGGGCGAAGCATTTGAAGGGAGGGAATTTTTGAGGGGCCGCCAGGGCTTCTACATCTCTGCTCTCTCCGCAAGGGGCCCACTCTCCGGGATATCGACCCCGTGGGGGAAATGGGCCCCCAACCACCATGGGGGGCAACAGACAGACAGACTAGATTCTGATGAGCATCAAGAGGAGGAGGAGGAGGAACGGCTGCGCGCGTGACCCGCCCCACGATCCCCCACAAAATGGAAGTCTGGGCAAAACAATATGGTAATCAGGGGAGATTGAAGGGGATAATGCGAGCCAGGGATCGGCTAGAGCAAAGATTGGGAATTTTGGGACTTCGGCTTTTCAACCGGGTAGTATTTAGATATCCATATTTTTAGATTTAGATTTTTGGACTAGCTAAACTTTTACTCCGATTTTTTAAAAGTTGCAAATATCAAGTTTTTGTGTCTGAATAATGATTCTCTAAGTTTATTCTACCGGTCCCGAAAAGCCGCTTAGGAATTAATTTTAACCAATTTAATAATAATTTTAAAGCCAATTTAATAATAATTTTGATATTGCCGTTTTCCCCCTTTTAAAATTTTTATTGTGTTGTGCTAGAAAGCTAGTTTTATTTTAATAATTTTTATTTAAGCTTATTCTTTCGTAATTATTTTTAATCACTTACCGTAACTTCAAAAGCAGCTTTTTTTTGTCGTCTGTAGTCAAACGGTTGTAGTTTTGGTAATCTTGCCTAATTTATCAATTTTTATGCATCTCAAAATGACTAGACACGAGATCACCGAAGCAAAATGACTTAATATAATAAGGTATGACAAATTGAGCAAAAACAAGACGTTTTTCAGTATTGCTAATGCATATTTTTCGGCGTTCCGCCTTGTTCGATGGAGTACATCGGAATTTGCAGATGAAGGGGTTCACCAAGGGGGTGGTGGAGGGATTGAAGGGAAGAGGTTGAGGCATCCATCCCCACTTCGGATGCCAGGTCATCTAAAAAGGGGCGTCACTAACAGGTTAATGGCGATGAAGACCAGGGAAAAAATTTTCTCGTTCTTATTAAGGAAAAATTCGGTGGTTTTCAATAGCGTAGGAAGAGTTTAACCCGGTAACTTTCCTTTTTCTGCGCCATTTAAAGCTAAAAAGCACATAATTAAACACTTTGGGCGGAACTGACCGGGAAAATGCATGGGTGGGGGCGGCAGTCCGCGTTGTTCGAAATGCCTTAAATAGTTGCACAGGTGCTTCAGCCTTCGCTCCTTGCTACGCCGATTTTGGAACCATACCTGGGATTCTCGATTGATTAAAATTGAAGTTTCAAACCTGGATGACCCGCATGGAGAGGCCCGTCTCGCCGGCGAGCTTTGCCCTTGCGTGCTTCGACGGTTTTGGTGTCGTCGTGAAGATACGGTTCAGCACGTCGAGCTAGAAAAATATAATTGCTAGATAATTCGGTATTCTCGAAAAACGTTAGTTGAGAAAGTCAGTTGAGCTGACCGAGATTTTGAAAGTATGCCTGATCCGAACTGATCCGAAGCCCACCTGATTCTGTTTGATCGTCGTCCTAGGGCCACGCCGTTTCAAAAACTTGTTGTCATCGTCGAAACTAGAAAAATAATGTTGTTTCTTGAAGAGATTGACTTACGCATCGACGTACGCAAATCCTGGATGGTCGTAGGGGAAGACAAACGGGAGGCTCATCGGGTCGAGGAGTCCGCCCATCGTTGGATCGAGCACTGGCTCGTCGACATCGATTTTCAGGTTGGCGCACAGGTTGGATGGGCCCGGTTCCTGTAACGACAGCATACGCAATAAATAATTCTCATAGATGCTGAACTATTTTGGTGAATGATCTCTCTGGCTCTCTGTCCCTCTCTCTCACTCTCTCTCTTCTCCTTCTTCTCTCTCTCTCTCTCTCTCACTCTCTACTCCTCTTTTTCCCCCCCTTACCTGAAAATTCTGAAGCGGCGACCCTTCCTCCGCATAAATCGGCGTGCCATCCGAGGATCCAGACGCTTCTAAAAAAACCTATTGCGCCCAAAAAATGGATTCGACTTACCCAATTGTGTGTAGAACCCGCATTCATTGGGAAGACAGTATACTTCACCTTGCGGTTCGTCAATCTGTAGGCCAGAGGCTACAAGCGACAAAACCACCCTACCGAAACTTGCTGCCCGGTCGAGAACTGCTTGCCGCACCGCGAGCATTTATGGCATTCCGCGTGGAAAGTCATCGTTGGCTAAAGCGGCTTGGTTTCGGCTATAGCTAATGACCACGGTAGCGTAATCGGTAAGTCTTTCCTTTACCCCCCTCTCCGGCAGACGTTCCCAAAAGATTTTCGCTATACTTTTTTATATTACATTATTTTGGGCTGTAATTAAAACTCTTTTTGATGTTTTATCGAATGGGGTAGCCAAAATCCCGACAAAATAGCGGAAATGCCGAAAATTTTTGGGAGCTTCCGGCTGTGGGGTAAAGCAAAGCCAACCCCGTAATTTTACTGGTCATGAGATACTGCAGTGAGTGGTTTCATATCAAAGAAATGTTACTTAAATTAATCAATTAATGAATCAAAATAAGATATTCTGAAGTTGCCGAATTCACCCTACCGTAACCTTGTAGACAACATCATACGGTGCGATACCCTGCTTGCACCGCAGACAGTGGTAGGGGCTATGGCTTCTGAAAATAGAGGTTAAAGGGGCTGAATTCGATAGCTTTCCACGCCTGCGTATGGACAGTTACAAGTTAAGCCAAAATCGTATCGATTTTCCAAAATATCGTATAGCCATGGCCGTTTGATAACGCTAAAAAGTCACTACTTAATCCGTTTAATGGCGGCATGTCAAAATCCACCAAAATATTTTGAATCATCCGACTTCCCACTCAAAATAGTGCTGCTGGCAGTAGAGTTGACCATTCCGCTCGTAGCACGATGCCGAGAGGCGCAGATGGCAAATCGAGCAGTTCAGGCAGTGTTCGTGGTAAGACTCAAATGACTTGATTAAATTTTATCTTGCGCACTTTTCCTACCGTATCCCGAATTCGACACAGGAATTTGTCGTGGATGGGCAGCGCACAATGGGCACATGGGTCCGGGTGGAGGGTTTGCTGAAAAGACACATCCTTGGAATTATGACCGGACTACCGTACCCTCAGAAAATCATTTCCGATGCTGTTGACAACCTCGGTGATTGCGCACAGGGGTTTGATGTCCTCGAACTCGTAATGTGAGTCCATTTCTGCAAGAAATTGCAGGATTACCGCCGCGATCACCTCCGACACGCTCAAAAAGCGTCAAATTCAAAATCGGAAAAATCAAGGCGGTATAAAGTAAACCGGAACTAAACCGTAAAATTTATATTCCAAAAATTAGACAAAATTCGCCATGCCCAGGCCATTAATCTGCGGTTACGCAAAAAGGACTGCCGGTAAACGGTCAAAAGCCGGACCCCCGCCCCGGCTACCGTATCCCCCGTCCGCGCCATCGAAAATTTAGGGGGAACGGCGAGGCGCCGAGTGGGCCCCCTGGCCTAGGGCCCCACTGGGGGAGGGCCCAAAGTGATGATAGGGCCCCTACCAAACAGGGCCAGGGCCATTCATCCACAATCCCCCGGGCACACCCGCTTGGTGTCATGCATTTTGGAGAACAATCCCGATCTGGGCCGGGCAGTCGGACCGGCAATACTGGTGGAAAACTCAGGTGCAAAAATGACAAGTGTAACAGGGTTGCAGAAATTAGTCAATTTTCGGGGTCTCGAGTACCAAAATACCTTGACGTAGCGTACCTTACTTAGTAAGCAAAAAAGCACAGCTTAACGAATATTAACCAGGTTACAGTACCCCCTTGGGCACCTCGAATTTCTCTGGCGCACCGGTTTTTTTGTCTTTGACACTTCTTTTTGGCACTGGAAAATCTTATCCCCTAGCCAGCCCCTTGAAAATGCAAGATCCGACGGAACGCTAGCGGTACTGGAAATCGGACAGCGACAAATGCCGAGACACGATACGCATGGTTGGCGGGGTGGGCGGGGGTCCCAAAATTTCGGAGGACCCATGCCTGGGGTGCCAATTATGCGAACGATTCCAATTGCTTCACCTCCCTCCCCCCCGGCGGCACACGGTGAATTTCAGTTTTTCCGGCTGCTGCCGATCCGGACCAAAGAGCCACCGACGATGGCCGGGCATGTAGTGAGGAATTGCGGTAAGGGCAGCCAAACTAGCAGGGGTTGGAATGGAAATCGGGCATTTCTAAAATCCGACATAGGAATATAGTCGATTTCGGCATCCCCAATTTTTTCGATTTTTTGATCTGTTGAAAATTACGTGTATCTAGAAATTACTTTTCCTTAATTTTTTGTGAATTTATGTAAAGTAAATTGCATTAAAATAGCACCTCATTGCGCAAATACTCATCTCACCACCTTTTTAGTTGTAGCTTACATACGCTAAATTCGTTCCAAGTTACAACTCCGTTATTCCCGGATGCAAATTGCCCCCATTTTTCAGCACTAATGGCCGATGGGGAATCAGTGCGCGAGGCAGGAAATTAGTGATTCCCGAGTGGCGCATCACCAGCTACCCGAGTGTCGATGGGCTGTCAGTAGTAGTGTCACGGACCGGACACGCAACACATATACCACCGGCCAGCTGGCGACACCACCCCATCCAATGGACAATTCACATTTATCGCTCTCTCTCCCTCTCTCTCTCTCTCTCTCTCTCTCTCTGAATCAATCACCACCAATTAATTAATTATGGGCCCCAGAATGACTGCGGAATTTGGGAATTTCCGTACTAGAAACGCGCAAAAGCTCTAAAAATCGGTATGAGTGCGGTTTAACCCCCCCCCCCTTTTTTTTTTCGGTTTTTTTTTTTTGCCCCTTTAAACAATACCAAGCGCCTCGCTCTGGCGGGTTTTTTCGTGTTTTTTAAAAGTCCCGGTAGACAACACAGACTTAGTCCGCGGGAACCGGTGGTAATACTGCAGAGTCTTGCATAATCAATTTGAGTAAAATTTCTCAACACATTTCTCAACCATTTCCAAAATGTCGACCGAGACTAGGCCGCCCGACAGATTGTCGTCGGAGCGAGACGTCGAGTTGGGCTCCACGTCCACCGATGCGTTCGCTGAGGGCCAAGTCGAAGAGGGAGGGCCCCTTGCCAAGTACACGTTCGTTGCTTTGCCTAAGCCTAAAGTAAAATACCCCTACATAGACCCTTATGAAGCAATATTAGCGGAATTTTTCAGCCAGATGGGCAACGCCGCCGACGAGGACAAGGTGTCGACGCTGGAAAAGAGCTGCTGCATCGTCACCTTTGTCGTCCTCATTTTGCTCTTGTGTAGTTTTTTGGGGAGCTCGACCCCCCCATTGTCCTAAAGAGCTGTAAAGTATGCTCAAATGTTCGCCTTGAACTGTTTCCGGTAATACTCCCGATACCCCCCAGCCGGCCGCAACTTTTGTATCTCGGCTCCCCGTTCATCTACAGGTGCGTAAAGTATACCAAGATGTTCGTCTCGCTCTAGCGAGTATTTTGGGATACTTTACACACCTGTAGATGAACAGGGAGCCGAGATACAAAAGTTGGGGGCCGGCTGGGAGGGTATCTGGAGTTCAGCCCTGTTTCCCCTGCTCACAATCCAATACCAACATAAAATTAGCCAAAAGCCGATTTTCAGTGATCCCGATGGTGGTCTACGGTATAACGGGCCTGCAGGAAGAGACGCGGGAGCTGAACCCAAAGGACCTGGAACGCTGGAACGTGACGACGACGCCTGCTACCCCCATAACGACAAAATCCTGGCAGGAGATTCTTCGTGAGGGCCTCGTTATTATGGCCAGCAAAATGGCAAAGAAGACTACGACGACCACTCCTCCGCCCTCCTCATCTACCGATCCGCCCCCGAAGAGCATTAAAATCACCCCAAATTCTTAATCCATCCTTGCTCCCCGCCCTCGCATTGTGATCCTTCGATTTGACTGGTTGATTGAAAATAAAGTTGTGTCCCTTTTGTAATGCAGAAGTGTTTATACGAAAAAAAATGAAAAATCAATCCTGCTCCTCCAAATACCGCTCAATGTCGGCCTCCATCTTGGCGGGCTCGGTGGTGGGCGCGTACCGCTTGACGACCTGCCCCTTGCGGTTGATGAGGAATTTGGTGAAGTTCCACTTGATCGCGTCTGGAATGGAAATAAGAAAATGTGTACAGTGCAAGGGATCAAGGAGGGGAAGCTGAGATCTACAACCAACCAATCAGGGTCCCGCCCTGCTCCTTTTTCAAGAAGGTGTACAACGGCTCGGCCTGGGCGCCATTGACGTTGATCTTTGCGTACAGGTCGGGCTCGTAGTCGTAGTTGTCCTTTACAAAGTTTCGGACGTCGAGCTAAAAACGCTAATTGTTAGGCGGTTGCTTTCAAGTACCCATAGCGCAAAGAGGCATACTATAGCGGGCGGTTTTTACCCCCGCCCCCAGCCGGCACCCAACTTTTGTATCTCGGCTCCCTGTTCATCTACAGGTGTGTAAAGTATAGCAAAATACTCGCCAGAACAAGACGAACATTTTGGTATACTTTACACACCTGTAGATGACAGGGAGCCGAGATACGAAAGTTGGGGCCGGCTGGGGGGGGGGTAACTGCACTCTAACCCACCTTTGTGGTCGTGATAAATAAAGATATAAATTAATTTTTTGTATGGATGCCTAAATAGTTTTTCCCCCCCGCAAACAGTCCAGTACCGCAAAAATTTCCCACCTCGCAGCCCGGCTCCTGGCCTCCAAACTGGTTACACGGGAAGGCGGCGACGCGCAGCCCGAGGTCGTGGTACTTGTCGGAGAGTTGCTGAAAAAGTATTGGATTATTAATAGCATGATTGGTTTATTAATGATTAGCCTGGCCGGCTGCGATTCTACTGGATACTAAAACTAGCTAATCCTTACCTTCAACTGCTTGTAGTTGGAGCTGGTGAAGCCGCACTTTGACGCGACGTTGACAATGATCAGGACTTGGCCCCTGCAAGGAAATTGGGTAAATTTTTTGCATGTTTAGATACACAAGGACAAGGAAATGCATAGCCCTGACCGACCTATACTTTTCAAGCGAAACGTCTCGGCCCTCTGAATCTTTGACGGTGAACTCGTAGATGGTCTTGTGCGCGGCCATCGCCTCGTCTTCAGCACTGGTAGACCCGCTGAAATCAAGAAGATTATCTCAAGTAACTGAACGATGTCACTACGAACCAGTGCCAAAAATAATTTCGTAGCAGAAAAAATCACTTTTGTGGATTCTGGGGGATAGCTAACAAACACTAACTGTAAACCGCCAAGGTATGAAACTTTTCCAAAAAGCTCCACCCCTGAAAAACTAAACACAACGCGGCCTATACCAAATTAGTCTTGACGGCAAAATGGAACCGTGGTGTCGAGATTTTATCTGGGATGGATGCGCCGAATTGTGACGGGTAGGGTAAGGGTGGCCTGATCTATTTTTTGAGGCAAGAAACACTAGACAAACCGTTAAAACGAGAAAAATTTTTTCTAGCTGCGCTTAACCTTTGGAGGCAGCGTAATAATCTTGAGTTCTTAGGAGGAATTGGAGCCTGAATCCCGACAGGAAAATACCGACATTATCTTGAAGCTAGTTTGGATGCCACTTCATTTTAAGAAGCTATGTGTATGGCGGTATTTGGGCTGTCGGGATCTCGGCTTACCTGATCTTGTTATCGGGATTTTCACTATCGGCATTCCGAACTATAATTGAGATGATCAATGCCAAGCAGGAACACTTTCGAGGTCAAAGCTAGTCTTGATAATTTTAAATTCAGTTTGGCGAGCCAGATCTAATTCAATTTAGCTTATTGTCACACCTACTTAACTGGCTGTTCACTGTCCCTTTAAATGGTCACGTAAAAATTACGGAATTTTTCGCAATTTAAATACGATAAAATAGCGATTTATAACGGTAGGAATTATAACTGAAATCAATGCCAAGCTAAGGAACTACTTTCCGAGGTCAAAAGAACGTAGTCTTGCTAAATGAAGACGCTTCCCCGGGCCTAGATGCCAAAGCCTGATAAGCCAAAAGCCAAAAGCCATAACCTTTAGGATCGAGAATGGTAGTTAAATTTATCTAGCGGGTCAAGAACGTTTTTTTATCAAAAACAAAATTATCAAGGGTCTCCTGGACGAAAATACCAATAATTCATCTAAAAACCTACCTTATGGTGCCAAAAACACTGCATAAATAAATAGCCAGCATTGAAAATAAGTGCTTCATCTTTTAAGCAATATTTTCCAGTGGTAAGCCGGCAGCCAGGCAAAATGAGCAACTATTCGTGGCGTAATCGGTTGTGATCTTTGCTGGCCTGGGGGTCAACCGGCAGCTCGGATCGATTTTCTTTGCCATTCCGTGGCGGGGGGTTATCGCCAATTTGGACAATTACGATGGGATCTCCTGGGGCTTACCAAAAGAATAGCTCTGATTTTTGGACAATTTTTAAATTCCGCTAGTCTTTGCTTTACCTCCCCAGCCGGAAGTTCCCAAAATTTTCGACACTGCCGTGAATTGTCAGCATTTTGGCCATGGCATTCGATAGAGCATAACAAAATACAGTAAGAGTTTTAATTACAGCTCAAAAAAAAAAAAAAAAAAAAAAAAAAATTATGGGAGGAAAAAAAAAAAAAAAAAAAAAAAAAAAAAAAAAAAAAAAAAAAAAAAAAAAAAAAAAAAAAAAGAAAAAAAAAAAAAAAAAAAAAAAAAATAAAAAAAAAAAAAATCTTGTTTAAAAACATCAAACCAACCCTTTCGCACAGCAGCTCGCCATCACCGAACAGCCGAGAATCCGAAAAGTATCTAATCCCCCTCGTCGTGCGCCGTTTGATTCGAATGCCCGGTGAATTCGGGTGCGAAATCTGAGCCCCGCCGTCAGCTTTTCATTTAAAGAGGAGGAGGGGTGCTGAAGCGACGAAAAGACGAAAGAACAAACAAACCATTGTGGCCGTCGAGGTGGTTGAGGGCAGAGCAGAAGGGAAACGGATAATGAACCCAATTTCGGGGATGTCCAACTACGAAAGAGGTGTAAACAAGCAAAAAAAAATAGTTGTAAATACCTCGAAATGGCCAAATGACGTTTAAAAAGGCTCCTGAAATTCTGGGAAACAATTTTTGCTGTTTGCACCTTGGCTTTGTTTTTTTTTTTTTTTTTTTTTTTTTTTTTTTTCGCCGGCGGGGGGAGTTTTTGCTCCCGGGGAGAAGCCCCCCCACAGAGAATTCAGAGAAAAACACGAAAAACTGGGGGCTTTTGGCAGGTTTCGCAGTTTTAACGGGCTAGCGAAGGGCAAAAATCGGCTTCTGACTTTGACTGGGTATCAGCTACTTGGAGCACCAAGATCACGTGGCAATTTTTCTACGGCTGGCCGACATAAGCGTCTATTCTCAGCCCCTCCAAGCCCCTTGAGCTAGCCTAAAACTCTAGTTTAAGGCCCGAAAGTCCACGACCCACTGTTGATTCCTGGCAATAGCCAATGCGACCGCAACCGACCGCGCCGCATAGCCTTTGCCCTTTGGCTTGATTAAATTGATGCTATTTGGAATCTTCACCGAATTTTGATCATTCCTGACTTTTAAATTACGAAAATTGGCCAGAGAATCGCCGAGATCGAGAGATTGGGTGTCTTACAAGGGATTACGACAGGTAATCGCCGCGCACTCGAAATTTCGTTTTCGCCCCAAAAAAATTCGGATTTTCTCCAGGATTTTAGGTTTTTTTTGCAATTCAATCACTTTTCTGGCACTTCTCGCAATAGCCCTTGCGTTTTATGGCCATACGTTCACCCCCGCGCACGAATTTTGACTTCTGAGCCCCTTTAAAGGCTTTTTGATCATGTGTATTTTGAACGCCAGACGATGGACAAATTTCGGCTCCAGAAATAGCCACCAAAAATTGCTTTTTGCGTTAATGAGCCGCGAGGCTCGAAATTGTTTTGCAAAGTGTTTTTCTGAATATGCAATGGGTGGCCGGATAAAAAGGGGTAGGCTGCGTATGGTGGGCATCAAAATGAAGCTATTCGTCTCGCTGTTATTCGCTTTGCTCGGGCTTGCCTTTGGCGAGAAGGTACCTTAACTTTTAGAAATCGGCTTGCTAGCTTAAAGCTTCATACCGAGATCTATACCTCAGCTTACGGATAAAAACAAACTACAAGTGAGACGTCAAAATCTAAGTTTTAGATATTGATCGAGGCCCCAATTTTCGAATTCCATCACCAATGTCATATCGACGGTTTGTTTCACAAATTTTCGAAGTATTCGCTATTTTAATTTAATTCTAGTGATCCTATAGCGTGTTATTTAACTAAAATATTTTCTAATAATCCTCGAAAACTTATTTAAGGCCAATTCTACAACGAGACGCACTTCCAGCGCGACGAGCCCTGCTTGAGATTCCCAAGATGCTCTGGAGGTCAGAAATTATTCTATTGTCAATTTTGTAGAAAGACCGGCAAATCAATCTTCACAATTCCAGGGCAGATCCAATACAGGCACAAGCACGAGATGTCCTACAAGATCCACGCAGATAATCTCGAAAACTTTGCCGGACTGAAGCTTGAGATCAGCGCGACTAGCCAGGCGATGCAGGAGTTGCTGGCCAAAGAAAATCAGATCCAGTACCTGTCGCTTCCGCAGGCCGAATGCGTGAGTTATCATTTTCAGCAAACACTATGAACTTAGGAATTACCATCTAAACCTTTTAAGGCCCAAAATTTCAGTTTGGTTGCCCGTACGTCAACTCCAGCTGGACGTACGGCTACCCGGATAAGGCGAAGCGCTGCTATTACGTGCCGCTGAACGAGGGCCAACGACAGCGTGGCAGTAGGCATTAGTTGAAAGAGAGAGAGAGAGAGAGAGAGAGAGAGAGAGGAGAGAAATAGAGAGGGGGGAGGGGGGGGAAAAACCTCTTCCAATCCTTTTCCAGACACGACCGTCGACCTGAGCGTCGTGATGAGCTGTGAGATGAACACCGAGAAGAAACAAGGTATACTTTGAGATGTCACCCTTGTCAAGTCTAGACTTGTTTGACCGTGATACCCAATCATTTTAGGTGTCCTCGTGGAAACCTTCGACCCGTCGGCCTACAAGGCCCCCTCCCTCAAGTACGAGCTGAAAACCGGCTGCGCCACCCTGGTCACCTCAATTTATGCGCCGATTTTGGCACGGCTTGAGGATCGTAGGATTAAGGTATGAATCATGTGATATAACAGGGTTGAAATATATAACGCTAGGGATAATCGGTATCGGATCCATTGGAAATCCAATTTTTTCAGCCAAACGGTGGAAAATGCGTGGAGCGCAGCAAGGATGAGGACCCTAGAATCGAAATGCTTTTTTCGCCAGGGGTAAGGGTTATTGTAATCTCCTCGGATCAAAAAAATAATATTTATTAATGCCTTTTAAAAACATAGCGGTCATTTCAGACAACAAAATCAACATCTAGCTGGAAGCACTTGTCGGTTAAACCTGCGCTGAAGACCTGCAAGCGGGGTAAGTTTACTCGAAAAGAATTTGAGTTATGTTTTTAGTGACCTTTCTTAATGACTTTATTATTTTGAATACAAAACGGCGACTTTCAGACGTAACCAAGTTCACGTTCCCAAGCGCCGCCTTCCGCTTCTCCGGCAAGAATGACTGCGAGAAGGGGCAAAGCTACGAGATCAAATGGGTCTGATTTTTCTGGAATCTTTTTGCAAGATGAAATTTCAGTTTGGAAAGGGCTACATGGAAATCGACAACATCCACAATTGTCAAGCCTGATTTTGGTTTTTTTGGGATAAATAAATTGTTGGGGCAAAGCCACGGATTAAGAAAAAACAGTTTCATGATCCATTAACGCGTGGCGGTCGCGTCGCATCTTAATGAAGCGAAAAGTCCAAAGGGTATCCATTAAGAGCAAAGTCTAAACAGTCATTGCTTTCTCGTTTCTTTAACCGTATTTTTTTCAAAAAATCAAAATCTCTTGAAGCCCTGGAAAGTGCCAATTCCTATTCGCACCCCTGTGAATTTTAAGCAACCGGCTTTCGGTTTAAAACGGATCGATGACAAGCCCCAAGACCGCCGGAAGCAAATTCCATGAAGTGGGTCGTGTTTTTATTGGCTTTTTTCCGGGCCGTCCTGGGGGAAGAGGTACTGTATTTGAAGTATATGATAGCGCCTTCCTTGTATGACAAAAATAAAAAGTTTAGGTCGTTCTCGAGACCCCGGTTTACGAGTTGCGTCACCAGTGCAATGTCGAAGGTTCGTCCTGGGATTACGCTACCTTAATCTATGATATGTTTTAAACGGCTTCACAGACTTCGTAAACTTCAAATTCTTTTAGAGCATGTTAAAAACTCTAAAGCTTCAGGAAAATTCCACAACACCAGCGAGCTGTTGGCAGATGTGCCCTGTATGAAGTTGCCGAAATGTTCTGAAGGTTCAGCTTTTCAAAAAAAAAACTTTAAAAGCACTAAAAATAATACGATAAATGATACCACAAATTTAAGGGGGCGTCAAGCACAACGGACCCCACAAAATGTCCTTCAAGTTGCGCCTCGAGAGCCTGGATGAATTCAGGACGCCCCGCCTCGAGATCAGCCCCACCACCGAGATGCTGTACAATCTGATTGGCTCGGAGAATCGAGTCGAATATGTGGCGCTGCCGCAGTCGGCGTGTGTGAGTTTTTCTTGACTTACCGGTCCCTTTAGCCGGACTTTGGCTTCCCGGCGCCTTTAAAAAATTTTTCATTTCTGACTCGGTTTTTTTGCATCTCTAATGCCATCAAAATGCCGGTTGCAAAAGTTTTGCGCCGCAACGCGTCTACTCAAGCCGATGGCTGACCCAATTTTTCAGTTTGGCTGCGCCTACCGTAACGTCACCTGGACGAACAGCTATCGAACGAAGGCACAGTACAACTTTTTCGTCCCGCTCACCTCGAAGCAGCGCCAACGCGGTAGTACGGTTTACGCAGTTTTAGCGATGGAAACGGAACTGCTGAAAACTACTATTTCCAGACATGACCAGACAACTGGTTCCTGTGCTCAACAGCATTCCCTTGCATAGGAGCACCGAAGGACAGCAAGGTGCGAGAAATTTGTATCGAAAGTTCGTAGCTTCGAACTGGGCAGTTCCATTAAAGCGCAATTGTTCACTGCAACGTCGAATAAACAGAAAAATTATCGTATCATCTAGGTATCCGCGTATGGACCTTCGATCCAGAGGCCTACAAGGCGCCTTCATTGAAGCAGGTCCTAAAGCTCGACTGTGCCACGGTGACCACCGAATTCCACGCGCCAATCCTTGGCAAGCTGGAAGACCGCCGTATTCGGGTGGGTTTTTCTGATTCTAGCTCCTCCAGATGTATTTTTAGCCCTGCGGCGCCGCATGCACAAGAAACGAGACCTGGGACGGGCGCTACGAGATTACTTTCCCGTTTGGGGTACTGTAGCTTTACGATCCAAGTGAAAATTCCAAATTTTCAGATGACAAAGACCTTCTTGAAGCCGAAGGATGCGACGCCTGGGCTGACGTCTTGTAGGCCGGGTAAAACCCCCCCCCCACAAAGCGCAAGGGGGCAGAGGCACGCGCGGGCGGGCCTCTTCTCTCCTCCCGGCATCGCTTTAAGTAAAAAGGATAAGGCCGGGCATTACCGTTTGGCTATGACAATCAGGTCAAAAAGCCGATTTTTAGGCCATGTCCAGTATACGTTCCCGAACGCGGCGCTCCGCTTTTCCGACAAAAATCACTGCGAAAAGGGCCTGGTCTACCAAATCACATGGGTTGGTCATTTTCAATGATTCTTACAAAAAACCTATTTTCAGTTCGGCAAGGGGCACGTGACGATCTCAACGAGCCCAACGAAAAATGTACCGTTTAGGAATTTATCGGGGAATGAATAAATTGTCGAAGTACCGAAAGATCACCTTTTGCTTCCGTCTTGAACACAGAGAACCGTGTTGTGAGAGAGAGAGAGAGAGAGAGAGAGAGAGAGAGAGAGAGAGAATTCAAGAGGAGAGGAGACAGGGAAAAGAAGAGGGAAGAGCGAGAGAGAGATAGAGAGAGCGCGATAGAGAGAAGAGAGAGAGAGAGAGAGAGCAGAGAGAGAAAGAGACAGAGCCACAACGCAGAGCTTTTGCGCAATATTTCGTCACCTATCCCTCCGACTCCATAATAAACGCCATCAATCCCAATAAAAAACGCCCGACTGATCGGCTTCTCCTTGCCTAGAAAACAGCTGACAAAGCCACGAGCCTGGGGCCGGAAATTGGCCACGGGGGCCCCTAACAGATCAATCAATTTCTCACCTACCGATCGGCCTCGACCCCCGGCATTGTTCTACGCCTTTTCGACGGGCCTCTTGGCTCTAAGCACCAAAAATTATACCTGAACTTCCCTTTTCACCCTCCCCCCAACCGAGTCCTTATTTCATTTTCTTCCTGAATTCTAAAGAAAAGTGAACCCTCTGTCTCTTTATATAGCTCTTCCTACTTCCCCATCTAATTTCCCTAACAAACAGGGTTTTAAAACCTATTTTTATAGCAAAACCACAATTTTTAAAATTTTATTTATCATTCCGACCATTCTAAACCATTTCTTTCTTCCCCATCCGAAAACCTTCCCAGTTCAACATCCAAAGGAAAGCAATAACACACACACACACAACACTATTTTTTTAGAAGTAGGATTGTTGCGACTTTTAGATGTTGATATACACCATACTTTTACTATTCCACTGCGCTTTTCTGATTGCACAGAATACGACGCCGGCCGGGCCGTGCGTCGTCAACATTTCCACACTGAATTTGGAGCCCAAGCATGTGAGTTCAGCGATTTTGGAGGCCTTTCCAAATACCTCTAAAATTTTCAGTACAATGGCTCATGGTTCGTGGTGGCGAGAAAGGCACCTGTCAGCAAGGACTATCTGCCGGTTGATAGCAGCTCCTCGATGATGCGCCTTTTGCTGGATGATGAGGGGAATTTGAACATGACCGAATATCACTCGATGTAAGATACTCTACTACTAGCTTTTGGCCTACTTCGTTTAAAAAACTAACAATGTGTGTTGCGAATCATCTACTCAAAAGATAAAAAAAAGCGCCGGCTATGTATCGAATCGAACTCACCTCTCTGGCAGTCGATTCCGAGAATTTTTGAGCCTTTCTCAATATAAAAAAATAGACCAGACCTGGATCCCGAAGCAAGCATCCAAAAAGCAAAAAGAATTGCGTCGGCCGGGAATCGAACCCGGGTCGCCCGCGTGGCAGGCGAGCATTCTACCACTGAACCACCGACGCTCGGTGGCTGGGCGTGGGGAAGGGGATTATGTCGGTCCCTTCCAGCAACGGCACATGCATGCCCCCGCTGTCCGGGTTTTGGCGCCGACACGAGAACGCGTTCCAAATGGAGATGAGGACGGAAAACGGACAGTTGATACAGTGTACGTTGGAGTGTAGTGTAGCTCTAAAAACATAGCTTTTTCAGTGGAAGTGCGCGCGATTTTCCACGAGCTGTCCGGCGAGAACAACGAGGAGATGAACATGGTCGAGTTTCAAAAAGAAATTTTGAAAATGACGCGGTACTCTAGGTACTGTACGGATGTCGTACCAGAGAATCCGACGGGAAATGCGTCGCCGGCGAGGAGCTGATCAGCATCATGAGCAATTCGAGGCACCCGCAGACGTTGCAGGTATAAAAAGCAGTGAAAACCTCGTCAAAATTTGCCTCTTGTCTCAGCTCTTCAAATCGGCGAAACACATCGAGGACTTTGCGTGCATCGACATCCTGTTGTTGAACAAAATGGACACCTACAGTACATTTTGGCGGCAGGGAATTGTACCGTTTAGATGCAGCCGAGTGTGGCGATGAGATTGTGGATGAGGATCAGAAGTTACGGTAGGTTGGTAAGGAGGGCAGCAGCGATTGCCTATCGGAATCTCAAAAATCAAAAATTAGACTCGACCTCTTTTCCATCTGATCGGCTGGAGCACCATCTATATTTCGGAATTTCCCCAATTTCCAGCCACGCCAAAATCTGGGAAAACGACGAGTACGTGGACGTGGAGTGCCGCGCCGAGAATATGGGGCAGTTTGCCGTGCCGATCACCGAGTTTTTCGTGGGTTTTTGGGTTGATTCAGGCACAAAAACCATTTAGGAAGAGCCCCGGATGCTTACAGTGATCGCCTTCAAAGACCCGGAGCTGGAGAAGGAGCAAATATCTCATGTGTCCTGTCTTTATGACTCGAAGACGCACGCCAAGTGCTCGTGGTTAAGGTATGCAGCGCGAAGCATTTGTAAAGCCTAAGCCGAAGCCTAAGCTTAAGCGTATGGGATCAAGCCAAGAGCACTATTTAGGCAACGAACCTGCTTTCAAGCCGAGTTGAACCAAGAATTCGAAGAGCCGTCCAAAATCAAGAGCTCCTCCAGGTTTTTGAAGGTCAACGGGACCGAGGTGGAGATCGATCGTGAGTTTATGGGCTGGGCAGGCGAATTTTTGAAACTGGCGCACTAAGGAAATAACGCCTTGTTTTACGTTAAAGCTATGGATGACCAAAGCCTGGCAAATCCGGAAACTATTCGTTGCAGTATCGGGGATGGTGGTCTGGCAAAACGGAGACGAGTACATCACGATGCAATGCTTGCAAGTGGCAGCCGATGGCAGTTGTGATCAGCATAGGTAAGCATAATTAAGTCTAGGCTTAAGCCAAAACCTAGGCCAAAAGCAAAACTAAGACCGAGAAGCGGTAAAATTCGTTAAAAATTCTTTTTAGGGTTTACGTCTGGTCGGACGAGGACCTAATGGACCAGCCAACGATTCGCGAGATCTACCGTGCCCTCCAGAATGTTTGCGTCGACCCGACGGAATTGATCTTTTTGAACACTTTCCGTACGTTCCTTAATTTCTAGGTTATTGATGACAATTAGATGAATGCGACGATCAGACGGCAGAGCCCGAAAAGGTTCCGGAAATCACTTGTGGGCCGCAGCCAAACTGGAGCCCGCTCAACACATCCTTGCTCCAGGTGGGAAGGGTTTAGGGATGGGGCGCTCTACTCGTTCATCATGCAAATGGTTAAAAACGACAGATAGACAATATTCGTATTAACAAATTATATTCTAGTAGTATCCTTTAGTTTCACACCAAAATTTAGGGCGTCTGGTACGTGGCTGCCGACCTCAACGCCGACCCCAAAATCTTCCTCCAGTCAGCTGTCATCGAGTTCAGCAGTGTCAAAGACAAGTGAGTGACGGTCGACTCGATCAGTTGAATTTCAAGATCATTTTAATTATGCAAATTTAGCCCGGCGGGCCTGTTAATACGATACTACGCGCAGAAGGAGTCAGATCGGGAATGCGTGGGCCCGGGAGAGGTAAAAGATTCTAAAAAGTAAGTTTAGAAAATACATAGGGCTTCGCACGTCTTCTGGAGAATGGTACGCTGTCGGTGTCGATCCAGTATAGCTATCGTCAGGTGCCGAACTATAAGAATACGATGAATTGTGAGTTTTATGCATAGGAGATACGGTACATACATCAACCTAGGCCCTAGTTTATTTTCAAAGCTTAAGCTATGCCTATGCCTAAGCTTAAGCCTCAGCTTAAGCATCAATCTCTCCAAAACTTATTTTCCAGTCATGCTCCAAATCCTGTACCTCGACAACCAGCGTGCGGTACTTTACTGGTGCTTCCGGAGGGCTGAGAACGGCTCCTGCATTCAGGTACGCGCGACAATCTAGCAAAGAATGCCCCACGGAATTTGGAAATTAAGAAAATCCATAAAAACTGCCTTCATTGGTCCTTTAAGTACGACGTAGACGTGCTCATTCGGTCTCGGTTCTTCTCGTACAGCGATCTCTCCCTGATCCAACCCTACCTCCACCGCGCCTGCGTCTCTAACAACCGGCTGCGGTGGTTCGATCTGCACTGTAGGAAGTTTCAGAAGTCTTAGCATTATTCTATCAATTTTTAAGCTTCCTGTGGCTATGAGATGTCGGCTTCAACAAAATTACGACGTGACATGGTGACGCTGTCGCATTCTGAGGTATATTTTTTAGTTCGGGGGCTTGGTAAATGGTTTTATTGGTGTTCCCGCCTTTTTGTGGGAGGTATCATTCGACCTTATCAAATTTTTTTAGGTCTTAGACATCCTCACCAACGTCCAGGAGCCCCAGTGCCAGACCAAACAAATTCGAGGCCGTCGTGCCCCGCTTCATCTGGTATGCTTTCCCCAGGTAAATGAACCCAATCGCCAGGTGGAAAAACCGGGCACGTGGTTCTTGATGGCACAGTTCGACCAGATGGCCCGCGACACTTACGCGACGATATTCCGGATACACACCGTCGGCGAGAAGTTCGCCATCGCCAAGATGCACCAGAGCGCGTGAGTCTGGGGGTTTAACGGGTATCGAATGGACGGTTTTCGTCATGATCAGCACGTTCAAGACCACCCAATAAAATTTTCCCTTCTAGAGCAATCCCCGGCGAGGAGACCCTCTGTTTTGAGCGTCTCCTCATCATCGAAGAAGTTCTCGGCGAGGACGGCGACTACAGCTACGTGTTGAGCTTTGATGCCGCCAACCAGGCTTCAACGACTTGTAAGCATTTTCGGCTTTGATTTTCACCCCAACGCCCAATTAGTCATCTTCCGCTTCCTGTTCTTTAACCGGAACGTGGCCGTCATCTACTCGTGCCTGAACTACAAGGAGAATGGCCACTGCAAGGAGGTTTGTTTCGGTAGCGTAGATGAGCATGGATTTCAGAACGCAATCTACGTGCTATCGCGCCACGAGTCGATCGATCACGCCGAGTTGACGGTGCTGGAAAAGGTGGCCAAGACGGTGTGCATCAACCCGGATATATTGTTCCATACTTCGACTCATGGTACGTAGCGGCTTTACAGCTATTTACGTCCATAGCCGATGGCATAAATTCACAACTTCAGATTTCTGCGTCCAGGACCATCGTCGCATTTTCCTACCACCACAGTGCGCCGGCATCGACGCCGTCCCACAAAGCTTCCGGAAACTGCCAGAAGCCGAATATTCGAGGTAGGTAAACCGCCACAAGTCAACCCAAATCCGCCGCCTTATCGCAAAACCCAAACCTTCAGGCTCTACGACAACATCCGGTTGTACGCCGTCGCCTCCAGCCGCCATTTCGAGAACCCGTTCTCGGTCATCCACCTCAAGGGCGGCGTCTTTACGAGAAACGTGCAACTAGCGTAAATCTGATAGTATCATAGTGGATCGTTACTTTTAGGGATGGTAATTGCAAGGAGGAACACGTTGAAATCCTAGTCTCCCCTACGAATCGTTATTTGTTCCTGGTCCATAACGTGACGGTAAGTTGCAAGTATGGCACTTTGGGACATGCGATACCTTTCGCTATTTCGGTTGAGAGTTTGCTTTCATAATTACAGTACCTCGTCGATCCATTGGCTCGAAAAGACGAGATATTGCTGAAGAAGGCGCAGTTGAGCGGCGCTGATTTGCCGTGCCTATTTCCGATGAATTATAACGAGTAGGTTTTGAATGTCGTATACTTGTTTGCCAAAGTGAAATAATACTTTTCAAAGTCGAATAAGACTTTGCTAAAGTATGATAAAAAACACCGAATAATGGCAGTCCCTTTAACGAGTTTACGCTCACGAAGTTACGGCACAACTTTGTGAGTGCGTAGACAACTGCTTGCGACTCACGCACATAGCTGCGCGGTATCTTTGTGACCTGAAAATTTCAGCACCACCTGCGACCTAGCGACCCCACCAACTTGTGAAACATCGCCGCCACTTTCAGCCGCCGAGGGGGCATTATTCGTTGCGTAGCGTAACAAAAATGAAACATCCGTTTTTAGTTGCTCGGCGACTGGATGCTGTACGCCTCGGACCCATTTACCGTGGCGAATAGCCGCTGTAGAGTCGTCGACCACCCCACGGTTGATGGAGCTCACCAATTCACGTGTCGATCGGAGAGGTGAGGTTTTTTCAGATGACGATTAAGGTTCTTTCTAGCTGGGACGGCAACTGCGAGCGCGTGGAGCTGTTCCAGTTTGCCGTCGACGCTTGGGGCGGCTACCGGTTGACGTCGGAGGTGCCGGCTGTGCACGAGAACTTTGAGATATTCCCGAAGGGTGGGTGTTGTGTCTTGCAGTGGTGTGTACAGCTTGGCTGGTCGCAAAAAATCGATCGAATAAACGATAAACGGCAGGAATTGAATGGAGGAAAATTATGACGAATAATTGTGGGCGAAATCGCAGGGAGCGTGGCCCTTTACGACACATAACGGGGAGCCGTTGCGGGACCGCGGGGTTACGGTCAGAAGTGCGCGCTATAGGGATAGCCGACTAGAGACTAGCCTTTCCCGAACCCATATCGTTGTCAATCCTTATCCCCTGGCCAAGCAAACGTACATCCAACCTTCCAGGCAACGTCTCGCTAACCGCCGATCGTCTCCTGTTCTTCCGCGAGGACCCAGTGGCCGGTCGCCTGTGGTCGGTGTGGATTCGGACATCCCCCGGCGCTACCCCCGATCCGCTGCAGACGACGCCAAAGGACCTCGGGCAGTTCTGCGTCTGGCCGACCCGCACGCAGATGAGGAGCCTCGAACAGTTGTGTTAGTGCTGTGTATTTATTGCTCTTTTTAAGGGATAGGCAGGGCGTTGCAATAGATTTCGTCGCACACGCGGCACGCGACGCACACGGGTATAGTTCTATTGCGTAACCTTTTTTTCCTGAGGACCCAGGGCTCGCGTTGTGTGTCGTGTCCGCGGCAAAATCCATAGAGACATGCCTTGCACATCCTTTTCACGCTTATATACCTGATCCGTATTCTAAAAATTTTATTGAACGCAGTGGAAACGTGCATAAATATATGTATAAAAATGTTTGAATAATTTTTGATGAATTTTTTGGATTTAATAATGAGCTAAAGGGGGTGGAAAGATTGTTTTTCGAAACGGGAAACGGACATTATGCCGACATCCTTAATGTCGGCAAGCAAACATGCTTATTTAGCCTTTTTTTTGTTGGAATTTCGGTTTTGCCAACTCGGCGGGACGGCTTTAATCGTGCCGAATCCCCTTTCGAAAATTCACCATGCCTTTAAAAATTTCAAACTTTCAAAAGAATAATAATTTCACGCTACTACACAAATATTTATGGGGGGGCACGTCTTGGTAAGGAGGTTCCCTGAAAAGACAGACACACAGAGAGAGAGACAAAGAGACAAAAGAAAGAAAGATATAGACAACATAGAATGAAGCGTCGAATCGTTGTCTTTCCATATTCATTCAGCGGAGATTCGGGGGCCATTTAAGGGGGTTTGAAGTGGGGGGGAGATTGGGGTGAATAGGTGCTCGGCGGAGCGCTGAGTGGACGGAGCTATTTGTAAGAAATGGGCGACAGAATATGGATTAATATTTGAGAAATTGCAAGGGGGTGGAGAGAAGGGGAATGAGGCGCCAAAATTCATCGAGCACGTCGTGCTAAAGAAGGTATCGTAACGTTACGCAGCGTTAAATAAAGTTACACAACGCAGCGTAAAGTTAAGTAGCGTAGTAGAGGCTAAGGTTTCGAACAGCTAGTCTAACACAGCTTAGCTCTGTTGAAAGGGCTTCTTTTCGCGTACCGTAGCTTAGTTTCGCGTAAATCAGCCTCAAGCGTACGGGACATAACGGCATCGTACGGAGTGTATCGTAGCGTACGACAGCGTGAAGTAACGTAACGCAGTGTATTATCATACACTACCCCTACGACGCCAACGTACATTTCAATATATTAAGCACAAAATTGACGAAATGGCGCCTCATCCTACCGTTACAAGAATCAATAAATTCACCGGAATGTCAATAGGAGTGGGGTGTAGCTGGTTGGCAAATTGCGATATCTAATACGCACGCAAAGTAGAAAAAAAATCAGCATTTCATCGCTAGTTCTAAACGTTGTGCATCTCGGCGAGCTCTTCCTCCTCCTCGGGGATGTCCTTCGCTGCGGGGATGTCGATTTCGGGCCGGAAGAGCTTCTCGAATTTCTGGAACGCCAGGGTTGATGACTGCTCCTTGAAACTGAACAAACCTCCTCAAACGTTCCTTCTGTCACCACCCAGATCCAGATGGCGTAGGCGGGGATGCAGACCATCGACGACAAAGAGAGGAACCATCCGAAGACGTGCCCCCAGAAGGGGTATTCGTACTTGTACGCCTTGATCGTCAACGGCTTGTATGTAGCGAGACCGAAGATCATCACCCCCTGAAAATCAGTTTATTGTATGGGAATGGGGCTTGAGAAGATGGACTTCTAGAAGACGTTAAGCAAAACCGACCAAGCACACAGACGGGGTCAAGAAGCACCAGCACAACTTCCACCACCCCGACGGGTAGTAGCCGATCATCGACCGCATATGCTCGTACCATCGATTGATGCCTAGATACCTTAGCTTGAACTGGTCGAACTTGACCCACCGACACTCCATGAAATTGCCACCACCTCGAAGAACAGCAGCCACAGCAGCGCCCAACCGGAAGCGGCGTAAAAGTCGAAGAGTTGGAAAACGTAAAAGCCGCCCTAAACGCTACGTGTTGCACCCGCGTGAATCCTTGACCAACCTGCGTGACCGTACTCAGCCCAAAGATGTAGGATATGAAACAGATGACGGCGACGAATATCTCACGACCCCATCTTCGGCCATGGACCAACACCGGGAACTCGTCGATGAGGGCGGTGAAGAAGCCCTCCATGGTGCAGAACTGGAAGGAGTTATGTCTTCAGGAACCGACGTTCCGTCTCGCGCGCTCTCTCTCACTCTCTCTCTCTCTCTCTCTCTCTCTCTCACCCTACCTGAGAATCAATCCCCAGGAATATCACCATCGAGAAGAACATGATCGACCAGAACTGCGTGTATGGAAACTGCAGGATACCGGAAGGGTAAGCCAGAAATAGCAGCCCGGGCCCGGACTCGGCAACCTAAAGCTTAACGTTGCCCTAGCCGGCTATAAATCCACCTCAGCAACGGTCTTCTCCATCTTGGTCGCCATGAATCCGATAAAGGAGAAGATGACGAACCCGGCGAAGACGGACGTGCCCGAGTTGACGAAACAGACGGTGAGGGCTTGCCTGAGGAAGGGCAGTTTTCGAAACCAAGTACAAAACGTACTTGTACACGTTGTTGTGAAACTTGTTGTAGCTGCCGAGCGCTACCAGTGCACCGAGGCCAAGTCCGTAGGAGAAGAACACCTAGAAATTAAGTGTTGACTGGAAGTCGGTAGCACCAGTCCAGCCCTAACCCCATATCTCGGCTTCCTAGGCGACTACAGAGTTTTAAAGTATATAAGAATGTTTGTCTGAGACTGGCGCATATTTTGGTATACTTCACACGTATGTAGCATGATTTTGAACCGAGATACAGCTGATGGGGTCGGCCGGGGGATCTGATGTCTCGCAAAATGACCATAAGTCGGTGGTAATTTTGCTGTGTGTTGTTCTACCATACCTGAGTCACGGCATCGATCCACACCTTCGATTCAAGTAGGCGTGAGAAGTCGGGTTTCAGGTAAAACTCGAGCCCGAGGGAGGCTCCCTCCAGCGTCAGCCCACGCACGAGCAGACAGAAGAGCATGATGTAGGGGAAAGAGGCGGTCACGTAGACCACCTAAAAACAGAGAGCCTTAACTCGAGGTATATTGAGTACCTTTCCGGTCCACTTGACCCCCTTCCAGATGCAGAGGTAGCAGAGGACCCAGGCGATGCCGAGGTACAGCGCCAGGTCCCAGCGTAGGGAGCCTGGGTTCTCGAAGCTCGAATCGGACGTCATCCCCAGGACTCGGTAGCTGAAAGGGTATTTGTGGTAATTAGATATAACATGACGTCCAAAAATGCGCCAGACTCCGTAATCGCAAAAACTTACTCCCAGAACTCTTTGACGGGCGAAACAGCGGCCATGTCCTTCTCGGTGCATACTCGGTAGTTTGCCAGAGCCCCGGTGAACTCTGCTTTCGTGTATTCCTTGATGTGCTCCATCGATAGGGACTAGAAAGAGGTTTTTAGCCGTTAGTAAATAGATTGTAGTAGTCGTACCATTGGACTTCAGGGTGCCAATAAAAAAAAACCCTCTAGCTAGACGCAGAATTATCGGATCGGAACGATCGTTACACCATTCAAAAGCCCTTTGCAACAATCTTCGAAACCATGTTTTTATCTAAACGCGCCATTTTATCACGAATTTAGGAACATTGAGTAACGGCATTTGCATCTACTTCCGGTCATTTTGTTTGGAGAAAGGCAAACCAGGGTTGAAAAACCGCTTCGCGGCTTTTCAACCCTGGCCCCGTCCAGGACCTGGGAAAGTCCTCAATTTGCATGCTTGTCCCTAAATTCTAGCAAGAAAAAAGTGAAAAACAGCTCCTCTGTCCCTTTATATAGGCCCTCCCTACGTCCGGCGCATGCAAATTGCCTCCTAACAAAGAGGTTTTTGGAAATCTTTACAAAAACTTCTTTTTAATAGCGAAAACAGCCGATTTTCCTAAATCTTATATGTGTGCACTCATCTCGGGATCCTTACGCACCTAATGACGTATCATACGTACCATAAAAACCTTCCCTTGAGGCTGCAGGTGCGGTACATACTTACGGAAGTTGCATGCAAATATACACACACACACACACACACACACACACACACACACACACACAGACACTATTTTTTTATATATAGTAGGAAGAGCGCGAATTCAGCTCCGAAAAACCTCAAAATTCCTAAAAATGGCTTGTAAAATTTGGAAGGCTAGTCTTGTAAAAGGCTAGGTTTGAAGATTGTTGCAAGCTTGCCGTTTTACGGGCTTTCGAATGGTGTAGGTAGCGAGCGTTCCGATCCGATACTTCCGCGTCGAGTTAGAGGGAGGGGGGGGTTTTTTTTGGGTTTTTTACACCGAATATCTGCTCCGAAGCCTAATGCGATCCATACTATGCATGTTAGTACTCTTGGAGCTACTACTACTGTCGCTACGCCCTATTATGATGCTTACCTTGACATTAAAATAGTTTGCGATCGTCCTATTGCTGACACATGGCATCTTCACGTGCGGGAAGCAGTTCTCAGTGTTCCATCTACAAATGCGCTGCTTTGGTTTTTTTTTCCTTTAACACTCACTCATTATCACAATTCCTCCACGGCACATTGTCGTCCAACCGCAGGCTGTGCACCAAGTAGCACAGCGCCCACGCCAGCACCACGATGTAGTAGATGTTCAGCCAGAAGGCCATCACCACGGCTGCGTAGCCGACGCCTAAAACGGAAAAGGTGCCGGCTAATTTCATGAATACATATGCAATCGATGAAACTTGTATACCTTTGAAAATTGGGCAAATCTTGAACATGCCCAACCCGCCGACGGACAGCAGCTGGCCCCACGACGTCTCGAGGATGAATAGAGGCATGCCGCAGGTGACGATGGAGATGATGAACGGGATGAGGAAGGCGCCTGAAAATGGAGGAGCCATTTCTATTTTGCGATAAATGTTTTCTGATTTTTAAATGAATTTTATATTTCTTCCTGTTATTTTTCTTAATCTTCTGCGCTACACTTACTAGCCCATTTTTCGGTTTTGACAATGTTCTTTTTCTTCATTTTTATTTGTCTTCTACACCCAGACCCCAACTTCACGCCAACGTCGCCTCCCATTCTCTTGGCCATCCATTTTCGCAGTTTATGCCCAAGCAAGGGATGGGCTTAGTGCCCGCCCGGCTCGGGGCTTAGGCAACGTGCCCCATCGGGCCCTTCGGCGGCTCCGTCAAGCCATCCTCCAAACATCGTCGCCATTAGGGCTTCAGGGGAACACGACCGGGTCAAACGCTTATGGAAATTAAGCCGAAGGCCAGATACATCAAAAAGAGCCGAGTCTCCTCACGACAACCAGGGTTTCTGTTTTCTTTTGGCCGACTCTATCTCGTAATCAATATTTGGCGTTTTCTTTGCAAAGCTACCATATTTGTACCTAGCCCAATAATTTTTCTCCCTCAATCCTCAACGCTGGCCATCAGCTGACGAGGCAGCGGTCGGCGGGAATAGCCGGTGACGCCAAAAACAATGACCTCGGTCGTAAAACGATACCCCCAACGACATACGGCCGGTCCGTCGAAAACCGCCGCTTTCAGCTGGACAGGCAAAAAAATCACCACACAAAAAACCGGGCGGGCTTGAGGTAAGTGACCAGGTTTTTGACGGCGGCTTGTCAAAATTCAGCACAAAAAGGCCGGCTAACATTTCGGGGGGGTATCATTTTCGAAGGGTAAAGAGTGGAAATGTATTTACGGTTTTTGACCTAAAGGATTGTGGATGTAAGGTACGATATCTGGACGTTTAAACCTTTTTGTCAGAATGAAGGAACCGTGGATTCACTATGTATTTGTATCTGCCATCACGCATTAAGGATACGCAGTAAAATGGTATAATCCGCGCATTAATGGACGTAGAAACCCGAGATCTAAATCCGAAGGGTGTGCGCGCGCCTTAACGACATCAATAATCAATACCATGGCGCACTAATGGTAACAGATTGGTGCGTCTGGCATTCAAGGCATATACGATACAATACGGCGTACGTATCTGTGTTCTTGGTGCATTAATGGTAGACACGACGAGGTGTTTGCGCATTAATCGCATAAAAGATATAGGCGAGGGATGAACCAGTAAGAATCATAATTACTACTCTCATGCTCACCTCCACCATTCTGGTAGCACAAATAGGGAAATCGCCAAACATTTCCAAGCCCGATGGCGTATCCGATGCACGACATGATGAAGTCGGCCCACGAGGACCACATCTCTCGTGGGGGCGTCCCCTCGGCCGCCACCATCCTGAAATCCCGACAATTGATCCTGAGAAAATTGAATTCGGTTAAGGCTCCTTGATATTGACTATGGAAACACAGAAACTCTCGCCTAGCAGCTGAAAGGTAAAGAAGTTGAGGTGCGGGACGAGGACATTAAAATCGGGGTTTCTGCGCCAATGTGAAACACGTGTAGAGCTTTCTCCACAAAGAGTTTTTACTGGAGCGTCATTTTTTTGATACGCATAGCTCAGGAATATTTGCAAATCTTAAAGAGTAAAAAATATCGTAACTTTTTCTTAATTAGAAACTCTGCTCAGCAGTTGCTTTTAAAAACTGGAACATGTAAGAATTAAATATTTTATGGGGGGGCGATGAATCGGCGTGTCGTGTAGAAAAAAACCGTTGAAATGTCTTAAAAGAATTTTACAATAACACACCAAAAGTTGGAATCGGCTTATTGGAGTCAATTCATGAAAATCGGTAAAAATTTCCGCCGATTAGACAAATTTGCTTACTAAAAATATGCCAGAATGTAATATTTACAGAAAGAGATAGTTCTGAAAATTCATAGTATGGACAAAGCATTACAAGCCTTATTTTTTGTTTATAACGCATGGCATTAACAACAAAATTTTGCGGGGGGGAATCTTAAAATTTCAACATTTTTCAACTTTTTTACCGTATGTCAGATTTTTTATGAAAATCAATTTCAATCCCCGAAGGAGAGTACGGTAATTTTCATAATACAGTGATACCGAAAATGGCTGCACTTTGTCATTACCTAAATGACACAGACCACGTTTTTAAGTAGCAAAACGTCTATTAGTAAAAAGGAACAACTGCGACTTGCTCCCAACACGAGCGACAAAATTTTCGAGGCCAAAAGCGGGCCATCCAGCAGCACCTTACATGGGCAGGGCCCTCTAAACAAAGGGCCCCCAGGCAGGGGCCCATCCTTAAATGTGGCCACCATGCTGTCGGGGGCCATAAGGGGGCCCTTAGATGGGATTTGATGAGTCGCGGCGGGAGGGCAAGGGCCAGGGTGATAATCGGGCCCACCCCGCCGCCCGACCCCCTTCAAATCCACCGCCCGGTTGAGGGGAAAAGCGGGAAAGATGGGGGTGTAAAATTATGGGCGACCACCCCGGGGATGGGAGGTGAAGCTCGTGCTCAGGTGAGGGAGGATGGGGGGAGACCCCTGGATGAAACAGCTGCGAAGGTGGTGGTGCTGGTGGTGGGCCACAAAGAAAGGGGGGAGGGGTGGGAGCATGAGGTGGAGAAAGAGCCAAAACCCCCGGTGGCAAATTGGCAGCTGATCGGGATTAATGAGGGCGCGTAGCCGGGGGTGGTTGTCTACGAGCATTTTGGGGGTTGCCGGGCATGGTATAATTTTGCGAGGGCTACTCGCTCAGAACTCTGAATGTTGCTCTTAATGGTATGGTTTCAGGATCTATCTGTTAGCGGGGGGGGGGGAAGAATGAATCACTTTATCAAAGCTCAATAATTTTAATAGCGTTTTACGCTCTTCGTAGATATAAAAAAGTTTCTAAATAATGAGTAAGATCTTCGGAAATTTTGAATCTTCCGTTAAACAGTTTATGAAAAATTTCCAAAGATTTTGCATTTTTTAATTTTTAATTTTTTGAATAGTTTTATAATTTTTTTTAGGAATCGGAGTTGTAGAATTGTAGTTTAGAGGCTAATTTTATTGTCACGCCCATATAAAATTACGATATTGAAACGCCGAATTTTTCGGTATCACGAATTGAGCAATTGCTTGGCTAAAAATCATCAATAAATAGGGTTTATATTTTTAAATAAGGTTTTTTTAATTTCCATAGATTTAATCCTTGTATACACTTTAATTATACCCTTTAATTATACACTTTAATCTATACACTTTAGTCAGCAAAAAATCCTACCTGTATTCACCCATCTTCGCCTGAAAACGTCAGAATTCAGGCTCCAGCGCCGGCAGCAGCTTCTCGATGACCTCCGGACCCACCGCTAAAAATGCACTAAAGCACCCGAGTTCAAAGTTGAGTGTGGCCACTAGCCGAAATCACCAATTGGTCAGTAGACCGGAAAACGGGCGGACACGGGGCGGCATGTCAGCGGACTGTCCCGGAATCGCACTGGCATATAGCGAGGGAGCCGAAAGGAAGGGGGATTCCCCGAGGACCAAAAAAAATTGCTGACCTTCCCATGAAGTCAAATTGACGCGGAAACGAACGTGGTTTTTTTAAAAGGATTCGAGGCCTGATTTTCGCAACTTTTAGGATATGAGAAAACTTGGATCTAAACTGGTAGGCCAGCGTGTGCCGCGAAAGTAAAAATTCTGGTGACCAGGATGACTCGGTGACCGTAAACTTTTACGAAATAAAAACTTGAAAAAAAACTACGTAAAAACTAAAACCCTTAGGTCATGTTTACCCCGCTGCCAATGTCCGTGTGGCTATTGATGGCCCTCGATGCCCGGGGAAAATGAGTGATAACAGGGGACCCGAGGGCCAACCTGCCGCCCCGAACCGGATGGGATAGATGGATGAATTGGGGGCCCCGATCAGTCGGGGGGAGATGGATTTGTGGGTATTTTTGGGGACCCCCGGCAAAAACCCAGCACAAGAACTCGACTGTTTGGACACATCAGGGCCAGGGCTGAAAGATAGATGGACGGGTCGGAGGTATCGAAAATAGGGAGGTCGATTTAAGGGGATTGGCAAGGCATGCTTACAGCAACCAATGAGACATTACGCCGACATCTCTCTAACGCTATTGCTCTCTGTCGCTCGCTCTCTGTCGCTCCCTCACACTCTCTCGATCTCTCTCCCTCTCTCTCTCTCTCTCTCTCTCTCTCTCTCTCGCCGTTTTAACTCCTTCTCGATTCTCGCCGGCTACAATAGCTTCTACCAGTTCCGTGACTCGAGTGTGTTTTCGCCCCTTTTCAGGAGGTTGAGAGGGGGCGATCGTCCGCTCGGAGCCGCGCGGGATATTCAATGGGGCGAGGCGTACGATTCGCTTGATTTCTCTAGCTCTCTCTCTCTCTCTCTCTCTCTCTCTCACGCTCCCTGTCCCGCTTTGCCCCCTCCGGCACTCCTCTCACGACTCCCCCAGGCGAGTACAGTCCTCATGCTCCGTCTCTATCTCTACTCCCTCTCCGCCTCCCCTCTCTCTCTTCTAAATCCCTCCTCCTACAGTCCTCATGCTCCTCCCCGATCCTGTAGTACTCTGTGCCCTCCCGCTCCTCCCACTCTCTCATCCCACCCCCGCAGGCGATCCAGTCCCCCTCACTCTCATCCTCGCGCACCCCCCCCCCCGCGTGCACGCATCCTTTTCGAACTTTTTTTGCTGGTGTGTATGCGGTTCGCAGTGTCCCGAATTCCCGGCGGGGGTTGTGGTGCTTGTCGTCGGCTCATAAGCAAAACGACATAACCTGTTCGATCGTCGATCGGCGGGTGTGGGGGCTGGCAATCGAGTACTAGTATTAGTAGCCTCGAGATCAAACTGGATTCCGCTTTTACTTTTGATGGATGTTTGCTGAATGTTCCGTTTTGCTACAAATTTCATAAAAAAAATGGAGAAAAGCGCAGGTTCTACTAATGGATTAATGTAATACTTTGGTAGCTCGTGCTCCTCTTTTTAGCCGTTTTTCGGATATCTCGAGTTTGTTAATCAATAGATTTCTGCTTTATGTGTTGACTTGTATATATTACGCTCTTTTTATCTTTTCTCTCTCTTTCTCTCTCTCTCTCTCTCTCTCCTCTCTCTGTCCCTAATTATAGGCGTTCTCTCTCTATCTCTCCCTCTCGGTTTCTCTCTCTCTGCCTTGTGCTGTCGCTATCTCCTTCTCTTTTTTCGACGAATCGTTCCGGAATTTCACTCCGAAATCGCATCAAAAAATTTTTGGCCACTTCTTCCGATACGTCATTTTCCGTTTCGATCCGTTTCCCAAGCTCGTCCCTATGATTCATCGATCCCCATCCTTTCCAGGGCAGCTGAAGCTTTCCAGGCCGAGCAAGTTCTGGCGGAAGTGCGGGGCTGAGGTGGCAGATACCTATTCCCTCAAGCTTTTCTCTAAACTTACTGGAATCCGGAGACAGAATTCTGCTATATTCTCAACCCTCGAACTTTTATTTTCGTCTCTACACTACAATAATTCACCGAAGCTCGAACTTACCTCGAAGATTGCGCATTTGAATGGGCATCAGGCGATGGCATTTGGGGCGGGCCTGGTCCCAGATACTGTACGACTACCCGGTGCCGATATTCATACTGTCGATAGTGTTGACTGGAGTGCTGCCCCTGATCAGCCTCTACTTCAACAGGGTCATTCTGTCGGAGAATGCGGAAGTGGTGAGTGGATTTATTTATTGTAATTTTATATTTTTCTCTTTTCTCTTTCTCTCTCTCTCTATCTCTATCTCTCTCTAAATCTTTCTCTCTCTCGCTCCCAATTCTAACCCTAAACTTTCCCCTAGCCCCAAAAACCTCTTTGACCTTGATTGACACCCATGGATTTTTCTCCGGTGCGTCTGTTGGTGTTGGTGGTGTCATCGGTCTGGGATGCGTGGATCCACAGCCGGGATTACGCGGAAATGGCCTATGGCCAAAGTGGGTCAACACAAGAACTGATCCCCCGCACCAACCCTGAAATACCGACCCTCAAAACATACTCGACTCATCGTAACGCGACCATGCAAGGGGCCCAGAAGGCCGTCGTAGATCACGGCAAAGCACAAAATCGTCCGCATGTTCTTTTAACAAACCCGGAACGCACTTTTTAGAAGTCCATGCTCATTCTCAGGCCGTTGCTCGCAAAATACAACCCTTCCTGGCCCATTTAAACCCTTTCGCCGCCAGTTTTTGTCGGGAAATGCAAATTCCCGGGGTGGTTTCGGGGTGTGGCGGCGGGGTGAGCCTGATAAACCGGCTGTCCCCTCCGGGGGTTTCCAATCTTTTTCGGAGAGCCGAAAATGGCATCAGGATGAATGGGATCTTGCTCGCTAGACCGGGGTCTGCGGATGGAAATGGACTTTTGGGGGATATGGGATTCTAGACACCATCGAGGAAATCTGTAAGGCGATGAGAGGGAAAAAGAGGGAGAGAGAGAGAGAAAGAGAAAGAGAAAGAGTGATGACAAACAAGCTAGAATGATTGAAATTTTGAAAATGGATTATATTTCGCAAGTATGAGCGCAATATAGGTTTCCCAGTATCCCGATTCGGTGATATATCTCTCGCTTTCTTTCTTTCTCTCCCACTGACTCTCTCTCGCTCTCTCTTTCTCGCTCTCTCTTTCTCGCTCTCTCTTTCTCGCTCGCTCTCTCTCTCGCTCTCTCTCGGCACTTTATCTCTTTCTCCTTCTCTTGACTTCTTCCTACGCAGATTTTATTTCTATATTAAATTCGGCTGTTTGGTGTATTACATGATGCCACAGGGCCGAAGCCTGGGGCAGAGATCCGGTTCCGCAGATTATACAACACGGTGAACAGTGAACAACAGGGTTGAGGGGTGAGGGGAGGATGACCCCCAGGCAGGGAGGGGATGAAGCCATTCAACCGATTCGCCCTCGGGGCTCCAGGCCAGCCCCCATAAAAGGGTCGCGGAACCGAGTCCATGACCCCTCGATTCCAGTGATCTCGGGGTGAATCGAAAATACGGTGGTTAGGGGCAAATTTTAAGGGGCCAGGAAGCAAAATATTGCCTTAAAAATTTAGGTATTTCACCAAAATTAATTTTTATAGAGTTTAAGAAGTCGATAAAATTGCTAAAAAATGGGGAAAAATTCGAAATCTTTAAAAAATAGGCTAATTCTGCCAAAAAAAATGGACTAAAGCATTATAATAACACAAAAAAAATTACCTTTAGACGGCTAGAAATAAACAAGATTTGTTGAAAATGGCAAGAAAACAGTTTTTAAAAGTTTAAAAAAATTATCTGAAACGAAATAAGCCCTATCATAATTTTTTTCAAAATTTGAGTTGTAAAAACCAAATAAAGTCTATTAAGGCACGTAAAATTACCTATAACCGTACCTTTCAGGGCTTCGACACCTCAAATACGGAATATTCCGGCCAACGTCAAGCCTGGAAAAAGCTCTCCTTCGTCCTCCAAACGACGAATAGGGTTACGGTAGGCTTTTTCTTATATAAAATCTGTGAAAGTAGAATCTATGATTTCCTTACTTTTTCTAGCTTGGCGCAAATACAACATCCGTGCAAAAAAGGGAGACATTTAACGCCAAGGATGAGCCCCTGATAATGGCGAGTCATGCGGTGAGGGTACGCTATTTTTGAAAACTACTTATTTTAGGCGCAAAATCGAAAAAGGCGTGGCTGGACGGATAATTTGATGTCGGCTTTCACAAATATTCCATGCTACGAGGCGCCGCTGCCTTTGAGTAGGTTTACAGAAAATCCTAAAAAGTTATACCGATCCTTAAAAAGCCAGGGAAAGCTAGAGGAGACTATTTCGGAAATTGGTACCTAGCGTACTGTGCTGATAAACATGCATAAGAGCAGGAGGCCTCGCAGAGGTTTTTTAGGAAACTGGGTTTTCGAACAACGCACTAATAGCTCAAGAAGGCGATGAGGCCTGAGCAAGCTTGCAAAGATTCCTAACCAAACTCCGCCTACTCCATTACCTGATGACGCGTTAATAAATCGAAAAATAACGGCAGGAAACTAGCAGAGATTCTTGGGGAGAAACTGCCACTCAAACACCGCACTACTGACAAGACGAGAAAACAGGCGCAGGCAACGGAGTCGCTTGGAATTTTCGAGCTTTGAAGACACATTAATAGAAAAACAGAGCTCGATAAAGTTGCATTAATGGCCAAACCGAGACCAGGCCGGCCGGCTAGCAAATATCTTTTGGGAAATTGTGCTCTAATTAGGCGCACTAATAGACAAACAAAGCTTGAGAACGTCGCACTAATGGTTAAACCGAGGCAAAAGGCAGGCCAGCAGAGAAACTTTGATATTCGAGAGAGAGAGAGAGAGGAGAGAGAGAGAGAGAGAGAGAGAGAGAGAGAGAGCGAGAGAGAGGGGGCAATCTTGAGAGATTTTTGGCTCAAATTTCATAGAATTTCATTAAAAAACGATTACGTCTCATTTAGTGAACCACCTCTCCCAACTGGTCGTCGAGGTACCGAGCTACGGCTCCATCTGGGACATGGGGTTCTTGAAGCGGCTCTGCGGCCTCCACGCCGGAATCTCGCACGCCGTGCGCCCATTTGAGAGCTATACCCCGTACAGGTATGAAACTGTTGCTTGGTATGCCTTACGAAATACCGTACCCTCTCCTAAAATCTTACCTGTTTTCTGATTATAGAAACGTCTACAGTCTGGCCAACTTTTTCGCCTGTATCTCGCCGAATTTTCTGGTGAACTGCACCGAGTTGACGACGGCCGATGTTGATGTGGTGGGTGGTTAAAAATACGGGTTTCCCGGGATTTAAATTAGTTAGCTTGGAAAGGAAGAATTCGAATAAGACGTCAATGATCCTTTCAGGTCCGGAAACTCGTGGAAAGTTGCGTGCCGTACCGGCAGCGTATTATCGATTGTCGGCTGGCGTGTGCGGAGAATTGTAATGGTACGTTACGGTGCAGTACTTACACAACTGCAAAATACCGCCAGCCAAAACTGCGGGACGAAAATGCCGACAACCCATAAACCGAAACCCAACTGAATTCTGGGCGTAAAATTTAAATTCTGTTCGACGTGTCAGGACTTTGTTTTTTCTGGATTCTAGATGTCGGTATTTTGTCCTTCGTGAATTTGTCTTGTCGGAATTCTGGTTGTCATGATCCTGACATGTCGGGATTCTGGCTGTCGGGATTTTGTCTTGTCGAGTTTCTAGGTAGCGGTATTTTTTCTTCGGGGCCTGGGTTGTCGGTATTTTGCCCTTCGTGTTTTGTGATGTCGGCATTCTGGTTATCGGGATTTGATTCTGCTTGATTTTCGTTTCCGGGGATTTTTCCACCGAGAATTCCAGACAATTCCTGCCCCGGGATCCCGAGGAACTGCTCGACGGCGATGATGGCCGACCTCTTCTACCGGATTCTGCCCCGAAACTTGCGAGCCCAGCCCTTTCACGTCAACGCGTTCCTGCCGGTTTTCACGCGGATGGGTATGGATTTTCGGAATTTGAGGGTAGCGTTAGTTTAGGCTATGCGACGCAAAACATCTGGTTGCCGCTGTCCGATTACGATCACCTGGAAGTTGCGATAAAGAATTATACCGAAGCGGTTGGGCTGGAGATGAAGGGTGGGTGAGAACGAGGGAGAGAGAGAGAGAGATAGAGAGAGCGATAGCGAGATAGAGAGAGAGATAGAGAATTTAGGAAAATCACCGAAATTTTCTAGCTATATTTTGTATAATCATACAATTTTAGGCCTCTTAATGGAACTTAAACGGGATCGGCTACTCTCCGCAGCGATCACCGATTCCTTCTATTCCCTTATCGCTGCCTTCCTGGTGACCGGCTGTGTCGCCATCCATTCCAGAAGCATCCTCTACGCGTTCGCCGTCCAAATTCAAGTAGGTAGCAACCGATTCTTCGATTTAGAGATTGGGCAAGAATCTATCCAGTTACGTCATGTTTTTAAGCTGCGTAACTAACCAGTTACTCCATGATTTCCAGCTCCTCCTCTCCGTCCTATGCGCGCTGGCGATATACGCATGCTTCACGTCGGACTTTCCGCTGTTGAACTTGGTGATCTTCGTCCTCCTTATTGCCGTCGGGTCTGACGATGCCTTTTTGTTGCACTCCCATTTCCCCGACGAGCTCAACGAGGAGTCATTTTATGAGGTAAGCACTTGGTTTTACCTTAAAGCAATCTAGCATAGTTCCTTCAGGAACCCCTAACGATGAGCTTTTAAATTTAGGCACTGGCTCACACGGCGTCAACAATGTTTTTGACCTCCTTCTCCACGGCGGTCCCGTTTTTCGTGAATATCCTCTCGAACGTCATCGTTTTTCGGTATCTCGATCTTTTACAGAATTAATCTAAAAAACACAGCTGCTTCGGCCTCTTCGCCGGGCTGACGATGTGCGTCAACTTCGTGCTGGTCATCTCCTTCCTACCCACTTTCCTGATAATCCAGAAAAAGTATAAGGTCTTTAGACTGCTGGTTTAATGAGTTTTAGATACTTCTCCTGTCTGCCAAAACTGCCCGACTTGTCCAAGTATTTTTCGACGTCGATCAAAGTCGTGTTCCCGCAAGTGTTGATACAGGTGGGGATTTTTGAGCAGATTGAAACCGAACCTATCGAAGCCTAAGCCTACGCCCAAGCTCAAGCCTAAGCCTAACCAAGCCTAAGCCTGACCCTAAGCCTAAGCCAAAGCCTAAGCCGAAGCCTAAGCCTAGTCTTACCTAAGCCTAGCAGAAGCCTGAGCATAAGCCCCAGGCTAACGTAAGCCCAAGCCTAACCCTAAGACTAACCTAAGCCTAAGCCTAACCCAAGCCCAAGCAATAGATACCTCATTCGAAATCAAGCTCTTTGAAAACGTACTTCCCGGCTTACCCAGACTTTAGGGCCGTTTCGTCTGGCTGGCCTCCCTGTCCCTGGTGGTCGTCTCTTGCTTCTACATATCCCTCGAGAACCTCTCACTCCCGAAATACAACCCGCTGCAGCTGTTCCGTTCCGATAATCCGCATGAGTGGTTTGTAGCTCATAGTATACTGTAGGTTCAGTGCCCTTTAGGTATGACAACCACGCGCAACCGATTTTCGAGTTTGTCGAGGCGAAAATCGCGATTCCACTGCATGCCCGGCTCGTTTGGGGTATCAAGCCGGTCAAGCAGCCGGATATGTGGGTTTCTCGAAGCAAAATTCATAAAAACGATCTTACAAAATTCAGTGAATTTCAGAGCTGTAAATTTGGTAAATTAAAACCATACGCTTAGGTTCCGCGATTTGACCGATCCACCTTTGGAAGACGACCCGACCTTCACCCTCGCTACAGTCCCGGATGTGAAGCAGTTGGCGAGGACGCTAAAAAGGTATTTCAAGCGAGAGAGCGAGAGAGAGAGAGAGAGAGAGAGAGAGGGAGAGAAAGATCCCAGGATTCGCGAAGGCGGCAAAATACCGACAGCTAGAAAATGACAGCCGAACCCCTGAGAAAAATTTCGGATGTGAAAAAATATCCACAACTCTCAAGCTTTCTGTTGTCGGGATTTTTGACGTCGGTATTCCGGTCGCTATTCAATTCAATTCCTTTACGAAATTTCCAGAATCCGCGCCCTCCCCTTCGTCGAGCACCCATCCCCGTATTGGCCAGAACAATTTCTGACTTGGAGCAGCAAGTAAGAAACTTTTTTATGCTTCAACCCAGCCTAGATACGCATGCCAACCAGCCCTGGTCTGCTGCAACATCACATCCCCTCTATTCCGGGGCACCTACCTCGACTATTGCCTCCGGAACTCGACCTCCTACATTTTCACCCAGTACAACGACACCCCAATCTTTGATGCGCACGATTTTCGGTTGATCGGGTACACAGCACTGCTACCGACAAAGCTACGGTGAGCAACAAAGAACAGATTTTTACAATCTTGAGTGATTCAGCTACGCGCACGTCTACCGGAACCTCTCGGTGTCGTTCAGCCAGCTGGACAAGAACCTGCAGCTCGACCACGGCGGGTGGTACACGACGGAATGGTGCGTTTTGAGTGACTGACAATTTACGATAAATCTTTCGATTTTAGGTATCTAATGTCCACCTGGTTCGACCTGCAACGGTCAATAGTGTCGGATTGCCAGAGCAGCGCCCTGATCTCGCTGGCCGTTGTGGCGCTGTTCGCCCCGATAGCGATGCGATGGCAGGCGATCGCTTGTCTCCTCTCCATCTGCTCGATCATCATCGTGTCGGTGGGGATTGTGGTGATGCTCGGGTGGACGATCGGGGTGTTGGAGGCGGTCATTCTCGTGCTGGTGAGTGAATAGATTCTAGGCTTTCGCGGTAGATGAAAATTGGCTCTTTGCTTTGACCAAACATCGATTTTGTGGCAGCGTCATTCGAAGCCGTAGATAAAACGTCTATCTGAACGTCTTCAGGTCGTCGGCCTCTCGTTCGACTTCACCCTCCACTTCGGTGCCTCTCTACCCTCCGACGGGTGCCCGATGCACCGGGTCGAACGGACAGCCGAGCTGGCGATGGGCCCAGTCTTCCTCGCCGCCATCTCGTCGATCATCGCCGGGCTGCCGATGCTGCTCTGCAAGACGCACGCCTTTTTCCAGGTTGGTACAGACTATTATAACGCGTAAGGTGTCTCGACCAAGATTTCGAAATCGTAAAATTCATTTGGGATTGCAAGCAGTGTTCTATCGACTTTTCCAGGTCGGCGTCTTCCTCGTCGTGTCGATGTCGGTCTCCTGGGTGTTCGCCAACTTTTTCTTCGTCCCCCTGCTCACGCTGACGCTGTCGCGACGACAGCCCTGCCAACAGTGCCACGACAAGGATTTCCAAATGGTCCCGCGGTATTAAGGGAAATCCGTTTAATCCATTTTACGCCTATATATCTGCTTTTTTAAGTTTTTTTTCAGTCTCATTTATCATCCTCATATCCATTTTCTTTCGACTTTCGACAGGCCGGTGTTCTCAGCTAACGGGTAAAAACAAATTGATATAAATTGTCGTTAAAATTTAGTTCGTGTTTTGTATAAATCTTTAAATTAATGAATTTATACAATTTTTAAGAACATAATGATAGTCAACAGATGAAGTTTGGCAGTAATAAGTTATAAATTACAGGCTGCCGGCTACAGGCTACAAACTATAAACTACACAAACGAAAAAGTGCATAAAAGAAGATAAAAGTTAAAGGCTCTAACATCGATAGATTACAAGCTACATTAGCTGACTACAAACTACTAAGAAACGCCGAGGTATATGGCTATAAATAGTGGGGTAAAGCTAAGCGAAAATCGACCCGGATCGAAGCGGAAGTTGAACCTGATATGGCACAAAGGAAAATATATAGGGCTTAAATTCATATAAAATGTAGAAGAATTAAATTAAGGCTGGAAAATGAGACACGTCACATCGCCGGTCGTCATTTGGCAGTAGTGGGTGGCGACGAGGCGGAAGCTAAAAATATTTTGCGCGGTTTTCAAGCTTCTAACTATCGGTCTCTCTCCTCTTCTCTCTCTTCCGCTCTCTCGACTGTCTCTCTCTCGCTGTCTCTCTCTGTCCCTTTCTCTCTTTCGCTGTCTCTGTCTCTCGTTGTCTCTCTCTCTGTCTCTCTCTCGCTCACTCACTCCCTGTTTTCTCTCGCTCACTCTCTCTCTCTCCCTTTCTTTCTCCCTCACCTGATCGTTGTCTTCGAGCACAACACACTGACGAGCTCCATCGCCGCGTCACCCAACTCCCTCGAGATGCTGAGTTTCGAAGCCGTCGCATCGTTCTCCTTCATTTCCTGAAAATCAGGCGAGTAGATGATCAACCCCAGAACCCACAGCCTCAAGCAATCGCATCCACGCCTCGTTGTTGCACTTGGTCGGGTCGAAGGTGTGCGTTTGGTCCCCAAAGAGACTACTAGACGCGTAGCCGGATGGTGAGACTAAACAAATCCCATTTTTGGCGAGCTATAAGACTTACTCCTCTCAATCTGGGGCAACGTGGGTGCTTCGCTGGAGATGATCAACCGGGACGAGGCGGTGGTGGTCGTGACAAAGACAGTGGTGGATTCTGGGGCAATCGTGGAGACATCATCGACGGGGACGAACATCTTCTCAAATTCCTCAGGTTGTTGGAGGGAGCGCTTGACGTCGTTGGAGTTGTCGAACTCCTCGATTTCGATGGGTTCGGTGGTGGTGGTAGTTGTTGTAGTTGTAGTCGTCGTAGTAGTCGCTGGTGTCGTTGTTGGTGTCGTCGTCGTGGTAGTGGTAGCCGTTGTCGTAGTAGTAGTCGCGGTAGTAGTAGTCGTCGAGGTTGTCGTGGTAGTTGTGGTAGTAGTCGTCGTTGTTGTAGTCGTTGTCGTGGTGGTTGTAGTGGTGGTAGTACTAGTCGTCGTACTCGTCGTGGTCGTCGTCGGGGTGGTGGTCTGGAATTCAGATAGAGTCTGGGATAGCCGTTACGATACAGGAGGCGCGGGCCAGGACGTGTTTTTAGATGATGATTTTTTCCATTGCATTGCCATAACTAATTCAAAACCCCCGAAAATTTTAGCCACGTTACAATGCTCAAAAACTTCCTGACGATACGAACTTCGCGAAAAACTGGATGCGCAAGGGGTGATTTTGTTTATTTATGGCGCTTGCTTGACAACCGTCAACTTTGAGGAGCTTTTTCTAAAAAGACCACCATCGCTCTTCAATTGCTAAGTAGTGCAACCTTGTACAAAATTTAAAACTTTAGTTAGCAACTCATCTATTTCGCATCGTAAAACCGCAATATCAGCTCAAAACGACCAGATTCTTCTCCTAACCTACCGTCGTCTGCCTAGCTTGCTCCTCGGCCAACCGCTTCGCCAGGAACACCTCCTCCTCGTTGAGATCGTAATCGTCTTTTCTGAAAGTTTACAATTTTTGAAGTACTAGTGAAGGTTAGTCATTTTATGGAGCTTGAGAAAACCAGCTTACTGCAGTGATAGCGCCACTCCGCTCGGCATCATTGTGGTCGTTTTCGGGACGATGGTGCGTAGGCGGGCTTCTGAAAGTAATATCTTGGTAGGGTTTCCGAAGAAGTGACGGATTCCCCGTAATTTGTACCCACCCGTAGCCGGCCAGGTGAACGTATGACCCCATGTTGAGGACGCTCTTCGGACCGAGATTGTGGCGGGACGGGCTGAAAATGGTAAGTTATTATTGGAGGCCAAAGCGCCGATAGATACTGCTGCAAAATGTTCATCACCAACCTGACGCCACGGCTCGCTTGGTGACATTCGCCGGGGCTAGCGTGACTGACCGGAGAATCGTCTTCGGCGGCAAGCTTGGGCGTACCTGCTCGGCTCGTGGGAGTGGATCGGCGGCTTTTTGTGAGATTGGTGTGGCCTAAAAACAAGATCAACTCGGTTCCGCCTAGCTTCTCTAAGAAACTCTGCTAGCAGGGGTCAAAACCAACCCACCTTAGCCGAATTTTCGACGATTGGCCATTTGCTCGGGAGGGTGGCCCTAGGAATTTTCAGGTAAGATCAAGATTCTTTTAGATGTACCTCGGCGCCAGGCTGCTCTTCGGCGACCCGAGAATCCGGACAAATCGTTGATTCGAGCAGTCTGAACGTGATTATGGCAACTATTTGAATATTATAAAATTGCTTGCCTGGACAAACGGGGCATTTCACTTCCGGACACACGCATATCGGCAAATTTGTCGTGCTGATGGTGGAGACGGGCCAAAATTGGCTGACTGCCAGGAATATAAATATTATCATCCTGAAATTGGGGAACTCGGTTAGGTTTTAGTAAAACGGTTTTTAAGATGAGGAAAATTTGGAACAAGCCGCGGTTAGACAAAGAAAGCGAAGACGGAAGCCTCAGCAATTCGAAAATCGGTTGGGCCTAGAAAAGCATTGATTTGATGGCACCCCAGAAGTTCTGCATTATCTGTTTTAACCTGTAATTTGCATGTTGGGATGATTCATGAATGTGATTATGCAGCCCTGAAGGAGCATGAATTTTACAGCAAGTCGTCGAAGCCCAGTGTACGTAGAAGCGGGGGTCGAGCGAGGGCTCCGAAGCATTTTTTTGCGAAGCTAACAGAGTTTAAGCAAAAAAAACCCCCAATGATCTGCATGTAACTGTTTCAATAAAACATAGAGAACACGCGTATGTAGAGGGAAGGTGGAGTCGGGTCCAATATTTTTAAAATGTCAAAAATACGCCGACCTCGGCAGCTAAAGGTCTTCATGAAATTTGGACACGGTTCTTAGAAAACACGTGAGAAGTAGATGATGATCAACCAGAATTCGGACGCATGAAGTCCCAAACAATTATGAAACGGCTGAAGCTCGAAAGTTGGTGATTCGGACTGTGGTAGCGTATCAGGACCCTAAGGTTAACATAGGCTAAATCGAACATGACCAAACGATTGAAAAAAAAGTGAAAAGCTGATTCCAGTTCAACCCTGGAAATCCCAGCATCCAAAACACAAGCGCCATCCAAATGCCATCCCCCCAGAAAAGGTAAAGGTCAGCAGCGCCCGGTGGGCTGGATCGAAAAAATGCCGTCGGGGGCAAGCGAATGGCCGATGAAAGTGAGCCAGCCGGTGCTGCTTGAGGAGGTGTTCTTCATGCTGGGGGCATTGTCACCATCTCGACCCCGACAACCCGTCCCTCCCATTTGAAGCTTTTGTTTACAGGGGGGTGACCCGTTTCGGTGTCCGCAGCGGGGTGTGGGGGTTCGCGCGGCAGCAACTATTTATGACCGGTCGGTTTGGGAATCGGCTAAAAATAAATGAGATGGACACATTACTGCACAATCTGGAAAAACCATTTCGAAAAGCCAAAATCGAATGTGACGGCTATGGTCAGCAGTAGTGCTCGAGACGCGCAAACCAACTCTACTCGGCAGTCATCACATGGCTTTTGCGCTATTTCTGAAAATTTTGCGATCACGAAATAACAAAGACTGTCATATTTAATTACGATTATACAACGATAAATCGGCCGCAGTCCCCTGTTTTTGTCTTTTATTCGACGTGAAAATGCGCTAGTTTTAAATTCCTGACGCCATTTATGGAACCCTCCGGCGATTTTAATGCTTTTATTTTTTTCAATTTCCAGAACCTGGGAATCACTAAAACAAGTCGAAAAGCCGATTTCTCCCAGAATATTTAGTTTTCTCAAAAATTAGGTCTATTTTGCAAAAATACCAATTTGTCGACGGTTAGGCAGTGTACCTTCCGATGTTCCACAAATAGGTTCGATTTCCGAATACTCAAATTTTGAATTTTTAGCCTCTAAAAGAAGCGTTGAAAGCACTGTTTTTATACACGCAAAGCTACTGCATCGGCGTGGCTATCAGTTACCAGTATTTTTATTTAGTGCCCGACATACCGTGCCATCCAGTTTTCGGGCCGACTGGAGCCGAAATTTTTAGGCGGGGTCGTAGTGGTTTTAGGAAAAGTTATAACCCCGTAAGCAGCGTTGAATCTTCAGGTTAATTTTCTATGTTATGTCTTGTCTTACCTTATTTAGGTTTTTATATATGATGGCAGCGAAATCTAGTTTCAAATGTCACCGTCTTATTGAGAAACCGCGCGCCTTCCCGCCAGCCGGCCTTCTCGAATCGCCGGCTTTTGCACTTTCCCGATGTGTGTACACGAGCTTGTTGTGCCATCGATGGAATTGAAGTATGGAAATACGGTCCATCACCACTCTCGACTTCGCCCTCTCGATCCGGCTTATCCCAGCCAGCGATCTCTGAAGACGCGGCGGCGGGTTGTACTGCTGCCGCGTGCGCGCACGCACTTGGCGCATCACCTTGATCTCCTCCGGCATGTTTGAGCACGGCATGAAAAAAATCGGAAAAACCGGGCTGGTT